TCAGCCCCCACTGGTGCTGGAGAAGTGACTTCAGGCAGCCAGACAGGGGACTTTCTGGGGTTTTCCCATGCCCTGGGGCTCTGGGCCACCTCCACCAGCCTGGAGAGGGGGCTCCCTCCACCCCGGGGGCCGTGCGGCTCTCCACGGCTTCTCCCAGCACTCTCTCCAATGGTGGGCGCTCAAGGCCTGCGGTCAGCGCTGGTGTGATCTCAGAAGCAGACGGACACCGCAGCAGAATCCAGGGCCTGGCGTGCAGAAGTCCCCCCTGGGTGGCATCTGCCGGACCTGCGGCCCTTTGGGCGGTGCAGACATCACAAGGCGTGCAAATGACTCTAAATGTTTAATAACTCCCCTGAGAGCCCTTCTTCTACAGTGAGCCAGCCCCCACCAGCCCGGAGACCTGGCTGGCCAACCAGGACCCATCTACCAACACGGCTCTGCAAAGGGAGGCACAAGAACATGTCCCGAACCTGCCCCCATCGGAGTGCTTCCGTCCACACACGCGCACCCACACTCACTTCTCTTCTTCACTCCATACTCACCCCTCCCTCCAGAGTCTCCATGGAGGCCCTCACACCCCACTGGGGCACCTCGGCGCCCCTGCACGGGTCAAGGCAGTGCGCTGGCGCGAGCCTGGCGGGCACTGCACCTCGGCCCGCAGCGCCCCGTGGCGGCTCACGGATCCTCCGGTGTTAATCAAACCCAGTCCAGAACGCACCTGCAGCTCGCTCCTTGTTCTGGGATGAAATGTGCAAAGCACAGACCATATCATTAACATGAAGCTTCCAGAAATAAGGCCCCTTTCCAGACAGACTGTATTAATTGCACCGAGCTTCCACAGCGAGGGTGGTCCAGTCCACGGCGTCCCATTGGACGGCCCGGTTTTAAAAACCAACACAAACGAACACTGGGATATAGTAGAAGGAGGGGGAAATGATGGTTAAACCCTCCTATTTACTTACAGGTATTCTTTTATCTTTATTGTCCCTTTAGCCCAAGCCAAGAAACCCCCGCCTGGTTACACAGCACAGCAAGCGGGTTCTCGGCAGAAAAGTGAATTGAATTTAACTTTACAGGACGGCTCTGTGATTTCAGCAGATACCAGTGACAGCAGCTGACTCCTTCCATTAAACCCGAGCACTCCCGCTCCCCCGAGCTGGGTCCTGTGTCGTCTTGCATGCGCCCTTGAGCTTCACCAAACTCATGTATTAATCAATGTGGCTGCTGACCATTGGCGGCTTTTAGATACGCGCAACCAAGTCTCTCGCTTCCTTCTCTACCTCCCAAGGCTGGTGGGGGATCTGCCGCGCAGAACAGAGCCTCGGGGTCCGGCTTGAAGGAAGAGTCCACCCGGTGCCAGACACGGACCATGCCGTGTTCTGAAGCCCATCTGCTCACGCGTGAGTCGCGATGGCTACAGGGTTCGGCACGGGGCACAGTTCTCCACTCCTGACCTATGGCCTCATGCAATCCTCCAAACAGTCCTTCAGAGCATGCACCACCCCCATGTTGCAGGTGGGGAAACGGAGGAAAGGGGCAGGAAATGAATTCTCCAAGGTCACACCTCTCCAAGGTCACACTCTCCAAGGTCACACCTCTCCAAGGTCACACCGCCATGCGGCACAGAGCGGCCTTCACCCAGGGTCTGACACACTCTCGTGTCTGCCTCTGAATCGTAGACGCCTCCAGAGCATGCTCCCCAAGCCCCAGGTCCAGCCATCCACAGTAACTGTAACTGAAAGGACTAAATGACCCACTTCAGAGAGCAATATAAGGAGCCCCGTTTCTACCTGTAAGCTATATAGGGTGTCCCCCAACAATGTATACACACACTTTGAACCATTATAAAGGCCGTGTTTATTCAAATACATTTCATTTTCAAAACTGAGCTATCAGCTCTTCAAGTCTGTGTACATTTTGGGGGGACACCCTGTATATGTATGTGTATGTACATACATATTTTTTAGAAGGGGAAAATGAGGCTCAGAGTGGGGGGGCGGGGGTCACTTGTCCAAGGTCACCAGCCAGGTACAGGAAGGGCCAGGACCACAGCCTGAACCTCTGGACGCCACGGGTGGCCTGGAAAAGTCCCTACGTGGAATTTCTCAGGAAAATCTTCATTTCCTAGGAACGCCTGGACTCGGCTGCCCGTTATCTCAGCGAGTCAAAGAGCAACGGATGCGCAGGGGTCAGAGAAGTCCCTTCCCCAACCCTGACCACCAGAAAGGGGTCTGGGTTGGGGTCCTGGGAGGCGGGGCTTGTGGGTGCCGCCAGCCGGAGAGGCACACAGCACCATGCCTGTGCGGTCTTCTCCCCCACGAAATCACACCCTTCCATAAAGAGCTGCGAGCGTGTTCCTGGGCAGGCAATTAACCTGCACGAAACGCGGTTACACCGGGGTTTTCCGTATTAATTTGAAGAGAAAGGTTCAGTGCGTCCAGATCCGGAAAGGGACAAGACACAGTGTGGCCGGCGGCTCCTTCCCCCCTGCACAGAGGCCTGCCTCCTCCTGACGGGGAACTGGGAATGTAATGAGTCCATTGCAACTGCTAATTAAACAGGCACTAAACACACTGAAGCAAACAGCCGGGTGCCAGGGGCAGAAGCTACAGAGGGACAAACACCACAGGAACGGGATATTTGCAGGTTGAAATTCATCGGAAAATACGGTGGTGCGACCCTGGCGCAGCTGATTCATGGGGACCCGGCGATGAAAGGGGACAGTGCTGGGAATCCGGGTGGAGCGCTGGAGGCTGAGAGCAGGCCCCTGGGGTCAGGAGGAGCGGTCCTAGGGACCCCAGGCACAGACACCCCACCGCCATCAACTCTGGGGGCTGCTCCGGTCTCTGAGTCCTCATAGCATCGAGCTATAAAACCCGAGGAGGCCTCACACTGAGGAGGCAACGCCAAAGATGGAACAGGTGCTGGCTGAGCAGCCCAGGATCAAATCCCACCTCTGCTCCTCCATCCCCTTTAAAGGGATGCACAGTCCCCTTCCTGCTCCTCCCACCACCGCCAGACTACAAGCAGCGGGAGGGCAGGGACCCCTCGCCTGACTCCGTCTGGGTTGCACAGTGTCTACAAACTAGGTGCCCAAGAAATGGCGTTTTGTGGAGGAATGGATGCGTAAATGAATGAATTAATGAATGAATGAGAGCTGTGAGCCCTCAATGTCTCTGAGCCTCATTCTCTGATCTGTAAAGTGGGGAATGAACCTACCTAAGGCTGCTGTGAGGATTAAACTCAAGAATGCACACCAAGTGCCTAGAACAAGGCAGCCAACAGCAGGCCCTCTATACACAGCCCTTACAAGGAAGCAGGTGGCACCGCGGCTGCGAGCAGGTGTGTGAGGAACATCCCCCGGATGTAGGCAGAGGCATGTGACTCGGTAGGCAGAGGGTAGCCTTGTCAGGAGGCATCCTGCTGACAAATTCCAGGGCCCCAGCCTTGGCCCAGCCACCCTGCCCGAGACTTTACTTCCCTGCCTGCACAATGGGGCTGGAACGGCTCCCGCACAGCACAGCTGCTTCTAGGAAGAGCTGGAGCCGAGAGAGGGTTAAGCAGAGCCCTGAGCGCAGAGGAGATGGTGAGTCTGCACCACTGAACTTGACGGAGTCCAGTCAGAAACACTGGGCTGATCACTGAGAGCTCGCCCCACCCGCACTCCGCAGTGGCTGCAGGGCCCGCAGCACTCATTACAGGATGCCACGAGAGCAGGGCAGCCGCCCAGACAGCGCAGGCACCGGCGCTCAGCGAGCAGGGACCAGAGCACAGACCTACAAGCTGGGACAGGAGCCCCAGTCGCCCTGGACACCAGGCCCGCGGGACTTCTATGCGAACCCCTCCCAGGCGATTCTTCTTGGTGCGATCAAGGCATAACCCAGTCCCTATGATGCCACCACGTGTCAGAGGGGATGCTGCGAAGGCTACCTTGCCAGCAGCAAGGCCCAGCGAGCACTTGACCCTGGAGCTGGGCCGCCTGTGGCCCTCCACAGAGATGGGGCTCCAGCAGGGACTCTCCCTGGGAAGAGCTTCAACTAAAAGCAAACCCTGCCCAATAAAATCACCTCCCTCCCACCACTCACATCAAGAGAAGTCCTGCATGTGTCCCCACTCTGCGCCCACCCTCTCCTCTCCCGCCTGGAAACCGGACAGCAGGGGCGCCCACCACCTGGGGTGTGTCGGCGTCCTGGCTCCCACGGCTGCGATGTGCGCACACCAGGCAGGCGGCCGAGAAGCTGCACACAGCCCAAGAGGCACACGGTGCACACACCAGGGCCCAGGCCAGAGCAGGAGGCGACCTTCTGTTTGGGGACTGGGGGTGGGGAGGGGGTTGGTGGTTGTAACGGTGGCCAGGTTGAGTCACCACCTCACTGCCCCTGTGTGCCCATCTATGTAAAATGGGCAGCCTCGTCAACCGAAAGCCAGGCGCACAGTAGGTGCTCAGCCCCTCAGTAAACACATGGCCCTGCCCCAGCCCCCTAACACACACCCCGAAATCCCCCTAAAAGGCTCCTTTAAAGTGCTTTTTCCCCTCAACGTTAATGGGCAACACATTCTCACAAAGAGAAACGCGTTTTGGACGGCTCGGCAATGTACACAGACAACCACCACGGAATCTTGTCCTGGCCATGTCTGGAGGGGGGCAGTGGCTGGGGCGGGGGAGGGGGTGGCAGTGGCGAGGGCAGAAGAAAACCTCAGATGTTAAGCGTTATCCAATTAAGCTTTAGCTAAACAGCCCAACGAGATGGAATTTGGAGGCTGGGGCATTCTGGGAGACTCTCAGAATGGGCGGAGGCGTGGGGACCTCCTGACCCATGGGGACCCGGCACTGGTGCTCAGTCTGTCGGCATCCTTCACCACTCCCCCTAGAGCCCCCCCCCGAAAATGCTTTTTGGGGCAGGGGCTGCACGGCCCCCCTGGGTCCCCACCTTGCCCCGGCCCACCTGGGAGAGGCAGCTGCTAGCTCTGCCAGGCTGCACCCC